CACACACACACACACACACACACACAGTTAAACCTTCCCTCACATTTGTTATAAGGTTTCATATATTTAAATTAAAATGTAAAGTAATAATAATAGTTTATGAGTATAAGGGGTTAATAAGTTAATAATAACAAAAATCGATTTCATCTCCAAGGTCAAAGAAATATTTTGAGCTTTATCTGCTTTTATTTTAATAAATATTTTTTAAATACTCAAATTTTAAGTTTTAAAAAAGACCAAAACATGAAATTTTTATACTGAAGCTGATCCATTACAAACGCTGTGTACTAAATAAAATAATTATACAAATAATATTTTAAAATAAACAATAAAGCACAGTTTCAAATGTAAGGCATGCACAGCACCGAGCAAGTTTGTCAAGAAATTGCTGGGATGACGCAGAGGAATGAACCCAAATCCGGACGGAGATAAAGAGTTTCAAAAAATTTGAATATTTATTCATAAAAATAAAACAAAAAGGCTGACATGGCAGCAAAACAACAAATACTCAGGAGACACGGGGAAAACGACAAGGAACATCCAGACAGTTGGCACGAACCAAACAGTGAACCAGTGAGTGTGTGGAAAAGCCGAGCAAGAATACAAACAGAGGAAATGAGGAGATGAACAACAGCTGATGAAAAACACTAATGGGAAACTAGTGACAGGTGTGTGTGTGTGTGTTGACTGAGAAGTAACTGACACAAAAACACACCGAGGGAAAATGAAAAGCAATGACACTGAGAGAACACACGAGGGAGACATGACACAAGACAACAGACAACACAACCTCACAAAAGTAGGTGAAAGTTTTGCTCACAAAATTATTTTTATTCTCATTTTAGCRTTTAAACTCAACTCACTCTTGCAGAATGAACATGTTAATATTCATTCACTTTTTTAAGACATAGTCTTATGAAATGATGATAAATGATGTCATTCATCAGGTAAAACATTAAATCTTTCATCATGCAGTATTTGTGAACTGAGCTACAAAACTACTTGTTAAAAGACCTTTGTTAAGAGCTGTATCTAAATGTGGGCAAATTTCTAGTAAAGCTGCTTTCATTCATACTTTTTCTTTCATCAAAAAAAAGTGGTCAGTTACTTTGTCTTTTGTAATTTTGAGGTAACTTTAAAATCTCACTAAGATTGCTTTAGTTATAAAACATATTAAAATCTGATGAAACTTCCACTCTCATAAATTAAAATGTCTGTGTGGTGATTTTGGCTACCTTTTTAATAATTAATTAAATTAAATATTTATATAAACACTTTTCATAAAGATGCTCATTTAAATGAGTTTGTGCACAGGTGAGATGATTTTACTTTTGGGCTGTGTCCAGGATGCGTCCCTCCACGCTCTGGCTCAGCTCCTGCTGAGCAGACAGCAGGTATCTGTCCTTCATCAGGGCCTCCCAGGTCAACAGCTCCTCTTCCTCCGTCTGAAGAAGCTCACGCTCTGAAAAACAACGTCACAACGTCGAACATCACCTTTCAAAAACATGAGATGCGGGGGTTTAGGGTTTTCTGAAAGCCACGTGGCAGTCGAGTGTTTTAGGCCTCACTGAAGTTTATCTGTCTGGTGGGAGGCCTCCGCAGGACGACGCTCCTGATGAAATGGCAGACGTGACTGAGAATCATGAAAGGAGGCGGGGCAGCCGGACGACTGTGATACTCCTTAATCAACTCGTATCTTTGAAACTTCCAGATTTTGTCGGTGTTTTCCTGGACCTCCTGGAACGTGAAGCTGCGCAGACCCAAAGAGACGGCAGGGTTTCATCACAGAGAGATTTACGACAAAAGCTCACTGACAGAGTGAGGCTGAAAACTCACTTGAAGATGGCTATGAGCAGGTTGAGCAGAAGTATGTTGGCAAAGAGTAAGTAAACACAAAGCATGATGATGGTGAGCCACTCGGGGAAGGCTGGTGTGTCGCTCTCGTTCAACATGGGACATTTGGGCTTCAGAGGATCCGTCCCACTTATGTTGCACGAGTTTATGTCAAACTCAGTATCTGTAAACAGACAATATACTGATAAAAGTAGCTCACATAAGCCCAAATTAGGACTTCCTAAAACAAAATTAAAGGCTCAACAAGGAGGACAATGTTGTTTCTCCACTCACAATCCATGTTTTTAGGGAAATTTCCAAATATGATGAGGTACGGCTCGTAAATGGCCCCCCGGACRATCCAGTCCAGCCGGTCGTCATTGTCAATGAGAATGCCCTGTTTGGCGACTCCATACGCCACCACCCAGATACTCATCAGAAACAAGAAGAAGAACAAATCCATCATCTGGAAGACAAAAACAGACACTCACACGGCTGCAACGATGGACATCTAAAAAGGTTCAGACTCATACGGAGAAACAAAACAGAAATGTAGGACCTCTGAGTTGAAACTAAGGTATTCTCTGCAGACAGAATATATTCTCTTACCATCTTTCTCAATATGATGATTTTAGGTCCAAGCGTTCGACTGATTGTGAAGATGGCCATGAGCCGGAGGCAGAAGACCACAAAGTCAATGCAGAGGAGGGTTTTACCTGCGTACAACAGCTCAGGTACCAGCCTGAAGGAAAGGAAAAAACTCACTGAGTCACATTAACTACTTTGGGTTGTAAGATTTCCMGAGGAATCATAGATGATACCTGAAGGCAAGGCCTACAGAAAAGAGGAGGATGGATAGGACGTCTAAAATGTTCCAAAACTCATTGATGTACTTTTTGGCTTTCTTATAAAATCCAAACCCATCAGGGTCATAAAAAAGCTGTCGACAGAAAAAAGATTTGAAAACGTGAGAATTTACAGCCTCTATTCCAGAAAATGTTTGAAATGTAACCACATACATAATGAATTCTTTAACTAGATGTTTGAAAAGCATCCATTAAAGGGTGCTGCAGCCCATATTTCCTCACAGTTCTGTGTTGCTTGTGATCCGGGTGCAGGGTCTCACCTGCCTGATCTCCTCACACACCAGGGACAGCAGCCAGATGTAGAGCAGCAGCTCCTTAAAGGAGGGTGAGCTCTGGAAGTCGACCAAGAGCACCACAGCAAACAGGAAGAGGAAGGCGAAGTAAGACGCGATGTTCCAGTAAAACTTGACCTGCGGAGAGCTGTACAGGCTCACCACTTTGGACCAGCAGTCCAGAGACTTGACCTGYGGCATGCTGAGGACATAGATGGGACAACTTCAAGTTGTATCTGTAACCTTTAAAACTCCCTTAAGTCAACGTTTATTTATTATAGCATTTTAAACTTTCCTTATTGACCAAAATGTACAAAATCAGCTTAACTTCAGTCTAAACAGCGACATCTAGTGGTCAACTGCAGCCAAAACAACAGAACAGCTGAAATGCTGACCCCATTCAAAATCTGCAATAAATCTTCAGAAAAGACTGGTAGTTTTATTAATATTATCACATATAAAAAATAATTACATTTATTTTACTTTGGATACTGCTGCAAAAATACAACTAAATTAGTTAGGATTAAAGCATTGGTTTAAAAAACACAGAAATAAATCTAAATAACATTTAAGAATAAACCAAAATAAGAAAAGCACAAAATGTCACCTGCTTTCTTTCTGCAGTAGTTGTGACAACAAGTGAACTCGCATAAAAGATGCTGCAATAGTTTTATCTGACGTAACGTGGGCTTGAACCCACAGTTATAGGATTATATGACTGCACCAATCACTGACCTAATGTGAGCCTCAAATTCAGCTCAGAGAATATGAAGGATAAAAGGTTGGTTGGCAACATTTTTTCAAATGGACCTCAAAAATGCAATTATAATCAGAAGAGAATGGTTCCTAAGACAGAGCCTTGAGGTACCCCAAATGTAAGAGAGGACACATTTAGATGGGAACTTCTTTGTTTATTTAAGGAAACAATATTTGACAGACACACTGCATTAAAAAAAATCATCGACAGTACATACGACTTGAGGTGATTTGCCCAAAATGAACTTCCCGTCACCGTCTCCAGTGTTATCATCTCCTCACACTTTTCATTTTGTCTCTGGATGAGTTCATCACGTCTAAAATCACAGGAACAGTAGAAGCATATCAAATTAATCTTTTTGTTTCACAGAAACATAAATACATATATTTATTCTTTTATCTGTTTCTAGCACATCTGTTTACATTTTTTGACATTCTGAGTGTTAATTGGAAAAAAAAAAAAATGAACGACCTGAAAACCAGGAATCCAGTGTAGATGAGAGGGAAGAAGACCATGCTGATCAGCACTCTCCACACACGGTTGTCCACTGAAAGCTCACCACACCAGATCTGAGTCAGCAGAGCCTGAAAAACAGACAAATACTGATGATTATGGTAACACGGCCACATTATTGTTGAGGTTGGTAACCAACAAGTTAAATTAACTGCAAACACAAAATTAATTATCTTCTGTTGTTCAGTATGGTTTATATAATAATATTTCTTGTCAATTTTTTCAGTTTTAAACATTTCATGTCATAAAATATGCAGATTTTAAGTTTTTGCTCTAGATCCCATGAGTCACAAAAACAAACAAAACAACAACATTTGCTTCACCTGAACACCTGAGAGAGCCACAAAGTTTTTATCATCAGCCTCCAGCGCCAGCCTCAGGCACGTCGTTTTACCCCAAAACTGTGAGAYTCGAACCAGCAACTTCTGAGCTCGCTCCTCATCACTGTCGTGGCACTCGATGAACACACCTGGGACACAACATTAATGACGAGCACCGATCCAGTCTGGAAAGCTCTTCTTTAGGACTGGTTTCGTACCTATGGCGTGGTTTTCATAATGATTGGCGAGCTCCAGCATGTCCTGTGCCTCTTCTGCATCCGTTTCTTTTTTGGCCAGTTTCTTCAGAATCTTACTGGCAGCCAGAGCGGCAGACATGCAGTCTCTGCACTGTGAACGCACATAAACAGAGAGAGGGTCACATTCACAAACTAAGTCCTGATTTTCTGTACAAATATCTGTATCACCTGCTCCCAGGCAATTTCAGCCAGCTCCTTGTTGTTCTGGACAATAGCCCAAAGGAAAAGGTCTCTTCCTGCATCCCTCTGAGTTTTAGAGATGTCCTCTGTCTGATCTTTATTCTGCTGACAAAACAAAAGTATTAGTCTGAATACAGGCTACGTATATTCTTAAGTAAAATACTTCTGCTTCGATACAACTTTTCCAACTCCTTCCTGCTGCCCTTGGGTCAAAATGACTCACAAGGCTTTAGGCTTGAAACTGAGACCAGGACCTTGTGGTTCTACAGTAGCAGGAGGGTTAAATTTTTTGCCTTTTCAGGAAAAAAATGCAAGAAAATAGACAAATTTTCCACTGGAATTATTATTATCATTATTATTATCATTATCATTATTATCATTATCATTATCATTATTATCATTATTATTATTATTATTATTAT